TATAGCCTTGTAATTCAGGACTGTGCATGGTGACCCTGTATAGCCTTGTAATTCATGACTGTACATGGTGACCCTGTATAGCTATAGCCTTGTAATTCAGGACTGTGTATGGTGGCCCTGTTTCATTGTAAATCTCTTGTTATGTATTATATTTTGTTCACTGTTGTTCTTCTCAAGTTTATTCATCAGTAGATTAGATTACAGTTAATGCAGCCTCCATGACAAACATCAGACCTTGTCAAGTGCAATGTCAACAAGCCAGTAACGTGTGAGAAGCTCACTTGATTGACAACCATCTGCTCTGAGTACTTTATAATCATGGTATGTATAGTATCATAGAATCCTTGTGGACCCCATGGACCATGTGACCTTGTCAGAAACTAGCTGATACATATGGTAATTTATAAAATCAAAACTTTGACCATCATCCATTAAATGCTTTCATTGATAGATTTGTCAATCAAACAATCCATCAATTAATCATTTGTTATCTGTGCAAAAAAAGCAGTCATGAAAATGGTTTATAAACACGAAATAAGTTACTCTTTCCACTGAGCTGTAAGGCATACTGATGAATTAGTTACTTACCAAGCAAAAAAGAACTGTCATTTTGCAGACAAGAATTTTCAATGCAATCCACCCTAAGAATTTACCATCATTTCCACAGGATTCTATGATACTGCCACGCATCATTGCAAATGCAGCGCTGATATAAAAAGAATACCAACCATCCACACACTTACATACACAAAGCTGTCTTGAGTTGTCTTTTATTGAATTAGCTGCAACACCAGTTAGACCCAGTTATAGCTTGTGATGTCCCACACCGTACTGCAGGATGCAGAGAAAAGTAGGATTAAAGAGAAGTAGTCTAATTTTGATGTTCRACAACTTTTAARTGGGAAGTGACATTTACTAMCTTTSAAAGTTWATTACTAAACAAAGGAAAACAAATGAAAAATRTCAACAACAAAATATTGGACTTGAAAGAATAAATGTCAGTAGAATGCAGTTAAGGTTTTATCACTAGTCTTGCTTGCAATTGAATCTGTTTTCTTGTTCAAAACAAAAGAAACAAAACATAAGGAAATTTATCATTGCTATTATATTCTTGAAAACCTACAAAGAAAAGGAGATTTATCATAAAGTCCTACAGATAAAAAGTATGTTTCTTCAGATGCCGGTTATAACTGGGTCTAACTGGTATTCATGGGTGCAGTAGTATGGTTTAGGGGAGGAAGGGTTGAAGTGTGGAATCATGGACCATACTGGAAAAGATTGACAGAGAAGTACTCTCACTACAGTAACCACCAGTGTCATTGCTTCTTATCCATATGCTGTGCTGTGTCAACTTTGTCTTGGAGTAGTTTCCATGCTAGTTTGTTTAGTTTAGATTTATTACTTGGTATTTTGTGAGATAAAAAAGAATTGMTTGGAACATCTACTTGTATCAACAGCTTTCAGAAGTAGCACCAGCAATGACATTGGTGGTTGCCACAACGAAACAATTTAGACAGAGAAGCAATGTCAGAGATGTTGCTATATTTGAGTGACAAGCAGATCTTATTCAAATACTGTTTCACTAGGAATTCACCATTTACCTGCTGAGAGTATGTGAAGTTTGGTTAGCATTGTTCTTTACCTTATACAAAACTATTTGCGTAGAACTTTTAATACATTTTATTCAATGTGTGTATAATGTTTGTTTTCTGAGAGTCTTCTCTTGTCATTTCTGATCGATATTTTGTATTTCATTTTTCTTTCACTGTGATAGTTGTTACATTGCAATTC